GAAGTGAGAAGTCAACTGCCGGTTAATAGACTTTTTTGCCGTATGAGTATACGTTGCCCAGGGTGCACCACGTGGAGGTAAGTCTATCGCACACCCCTTGTAATGAATAGTAATTCTTTCGAATTATAAGAGAGGGAATAGTGGTTAGGTCTAAGGACTTTTTAATTTCTTCATGCTTACTTCTCAGCTCCAATTGTTGATGGACGTGCTTGAACCTTATCTCATTTATTTCAGCTTCACTTGAAAGCTATTTTAGTATAGTGATCTCTCCAAAAATGGGGTGTGTATTAAACTCTCCTCTAAAACCGGACTTTTTATACCTAGAAATTCTTCACCAAACTATTAGCTCCTGGCACTTTGTCTTTTACTAAACCTTACGACCTCTATTCCCAGTCACCTTGTTTGTCTGGGAAATTTTCCAGTTAACTCAAACTTCACTTTATTACAAATATGGTCTGTTTTTAAAGTCCTCATTAAGACCTTATTTGTCAGGTAAGACCTCCTCTAGTCCTTTCAATCTCATCCCTTATTTGATCATCACTACTTGTTTGCTTAACAGTAGTAAATCGATATCCAGAAATGATAGTTTATCAGCTAGAGAAAAGGGTCTACCAATTAACCACAGACCAGTTTTAAGCAGTAGATTTTAATCAATGTGTCGATTAATTTTAATTTTGTATTTATTTAAATTTTAGGAACTCTCTATATTTGGTCAATGCAGTTACATGTTTGCAGCATTTTTCGTAGCTCGTTTGAAGTACTACTTCGGTTGGTGCTTAGCTGAAATGTTGGGAATCTGTGCGGGCAACGGTTACACGGGAATCGATCCTGAGACTCACTCGACTCTCTGGCTGAATGTTCACAACTTCGATTTCTTCCAAGTGGAAACCGCACCCAATTTGAAGCTGCTTATTGACGCTTGGAACATTGGAACCGTCCGTTGGCTTCGTGAAGTTGTCTATCTTCGAGCTCCCTTGAAGTTCCGGACGGTGTTTGTGTTTCTGGTCTCAGCTTTTTGGCATGGACTCTATCCTGGTTACTACCTCATGTTTCTCTCCTTCGCACTCTTTACTCATACTTCTCGTGCTTGGAGAAGGAATTTCCGTCCTTTGGTCTTATCTGCCGACTCCGCAACTGTTCAATGCATCTATGATATCTTCACCCTCGTTGTCACCCACTTTGTCATGGAGTATGCTCAAGCCCCCTTCCATCTACTCAGTTTCTTCCCCTCTATCAAAGTGTGGTTGAAGTTCTACTTCGTTCCACATATTTTGGGCTTCTTGGTGATTGTTTGTATTTCACCACTTGTGCGGTGCGGGAAGAGAATGGCTTCAAAAAGACCCCAGAAAAGTTCTTCAAATGGCCGATCAAGAGTTGTTAGCTCGGAAAGTGAAAGGGCCCAACCATTGGTGGCTAATCATGAATGTTGTGATTAGAAAAAAACCTTGGTTTTATCTGCTTGTTTTGTGAATGTACACCTTTTTCCTCCTCTATTCCTCTTTCTTTCCCGCCTCCCCCCCCCCCTATGCATGTTCGTCGATGTTGTTTGAATGCTACTAATGTTATTATCGACTCCCGTCCATCCTCCTGGATAAATTTTATTTCTCCCGGCATCTCTTACTAATGTGTATATATTTAGAACAAGAACTGGTGAGGTTCCACTCCATTTGCTTGTACGGATCGTCGTCGACGAAATAGATTTTTCGCATGAACATCTGTTTTAATTCTTTTACTCCTTTCTTGCGGGAAAAAGGCTTGGTGTCAGTATCTTGAATTGTAATCGGTATAGCATAATGAAGTGTTTGATCATTATGTTAATGTTAATCTGGTTAACTTATAGATATTACCTACTCTCATTACTTTCTCTAAGTGTAATGATCAAATGTATATTCGTGGGTGGTTAACGAATACCTAATGAGGTAAAACTCCTGATTATTAACAAATAGCCGATAAAAATGCATAACTTTTAACTATTGGAACCCTCAGGGGGTTGAGTCACTATATGCTAATTACTTGCCAACCTGGCCATAATAGGAGATTACATGGAATCATATTGGTCGAGTAAAGTATCATTTTATGCGAAGCTGCTTTCAGAATAAGAGTCTTTTATAGTAATATGGCGTAATCACAAAGGAACTCGAATTATGCGAGCAAATCACTCATTTCATAAATATTAGGAAATATGTATTCAAGACTCAAATGAAGACTCTGGCAGCCTCTAACGCTACTTCCCTTAGTTTTTTATTAGGTTCTGTGTTAATTGGTTTCAGTTGCGTTATTGGAGATGAAAATTAACTTGCAGTATTTCTAACATTAATTTGCCAATTTAAGAGGAGCGCTTTATTAAGACCTAATACTAAGACTTGCCAGTGGCAATTGCTTCATATATATATATATATATATATATATATATATGAAA